AACGCTTCTGGATCCTTTTCCTCACCTGCTTGGCTTGATTCCTTCAGGAGCAGCAGGGCAGTGAGCACACAGATTGTGAAGCGAAGTGATTTGTCCATGGGAGCAGAAATTCCTGCTGCTCCACAGGAACCTTCCTGCTGGAGGTGAAAGGCAAGCAGTTAAACCTGGTTCTACAGCTCCTCATCACTGGCTGAGAGCACTTTTTGTCCTGGATTTTCTGCTCCTTTTTCCGTGGAGCCACCATTCCAAACCAAGTCTCCAGCTGCAAACAGTCACTGCTGAGCTCAGCCAGAACAAACACTACAGAAAGGCTCTGGTGAAGCCTCCACTGCAGCAAAAAGGATGTGACAAACCTAAAAAAGGGGATTTACCCACTGGTGGTTCTCTCCCTGTGGGTTTCCCCCCAGGGAAAGGGCAGGAGAGGAAGAAGCAGCAATATTTTTAATGGTGTTTGTTTTCCAACAAAATACTGGACACCATTACACCAGAAATTATAAAAAATAAATTTGAAATGCCCAAGAAAACTTACCATTTATGAGAGTGTGTAGGCAAAAATATACTACATGTGGCATTACTGGCAAACACTGGATTTAGGGATCTTACCTCATCAGCTTTTAGGAAATTTCCCACTCCTGCATCCTATGAAAACTCAGCTTTACAGCTCAGCACTTTCCCTCATTCATTTTCCCTAACGAAAGAAATAACTCAAACCTCCACAGAAGATTCCCTCCAGGTTAAATCTCAATGCTGATTTTGTTGCTGCTGCTGTTAAAATATTCTGCCAAATGGGAAAATGTTGATCCTTGTGAAAGGATCCCAGAGGAGAGGGCTGAGATCTGAGCTGTACATCAGCCAACACCTGTGGGAAATGGATGTGTAAGGAATTCTCAAAACCTGGTAGAAAGCTCATACAGTCTTGTACATCTGTATGCAAATACTGAAATAAGGTGTGCTAATTCAGGAATGGAATAGAGATGGCATTGTTGAGAGATTGAACTAGAAACAAATTTCAACAAGTTTCAAAATACAGCCTTGCAAAAAGACCAGGTATTTTAGAGAATTAGAGCTGTGAAAGATGCATTGTACTGTAACCAGGAAATAGGTTGGCTTCTGATGGAATGGTGCTGAGTTTTACATCTCTTGTGTCTCACAAGAGACTGATAATGGAATAAAACCTTTTAAAACACCCCTGAGTTGCCCCATCTCTGTAAAAGCTGAGAAAACCAACAAACACTGACTTTATCCTACAACTGCTTTTTAGACAAAGTAGTTGCTGCTCTTGGCTGTTGCCAGAGCGGCACAAAAACTGAGCAGCTTCAACAACGGGGGGAAAAAAAAAAATTGAAAAGAAGCAGCAGCCTTCAGGCTGAGCCAGGGAGGAGCTGTGCTTTTCCTGGTGGCTTTAGCCTCTAAACTCCTGTTCCTTTTCCCTTTCAATTTGGTACATGTAACAAAAATCACCTTTGTTTCAAGTGGGCTCCTCTAAAAATGCCCAAACTGAGCAGAGCTCCTCCAAAAACACCCCCAAACTGATCAGAGCTCCTCCAAAAAAACCCCCAACTGATCAGAGCTCCTCCAAAAACACCCCCAAACTGATCAGAGCTGGTATCGCTGGCATCACCTCCAACAGAAAGCTGTTGACCACGCTGCTCATCTAAAAGCACAGATAGGGTGCAAATGTGGGTTCGAAAGGCAGGAAGGAGCCGGGGGCAGCTGGCTTTGCCCCTTGCCAGAAGCAGAGCACGAACTGAAGGCAGTTTCTCACTTACAGCGACTCCCTGGGGCCGTCTGTCTGTCTGTCTGTCTGTCTGTCCGTCCGTCCGTCAGTCCGTTCGGGATGCCCGGCACAGCAGTGAGGATCCTGCAGGTTTGGGCATCCCGTGCTGGGTTAAATACCCGGGAGAGGAGGAGGAGGAGGAGGAAGAGGAGGAGGAGTGGCTCTAAACGTGCCAGCTGGACCAGGGGACACCTTCGGGGGAAGGAGGAGACCTCACCAAGGGACCTTTGGAAGCAGCTGGGTCCCACAGCTGGATGCTGCATCGGGACTCACCGAATTCCCTCACTGTCCTGTGGAGTTGCTGTAAAATTCCTCCCTTTGGAGCTGTCCCCAGCAGCTGTGCCCGTTTTTCCTGCCTGTTGATCACACAGACAAAATCAGCTTTGAAAGACACAATTGAATGTTCATTGTCAGACTATAAATCCACATCCAGTCATGTCCAGTTCACTGCTTGTGATCTGGAGACTTTGGATTTCAGATCTCACCGTTTAATGAACTGAGATGCACATCCAGGAGTCTCAGGATGCACAGGAAGAGCAGAAGAATGAAGAGCAAAACTGTGACCTTCTGCTGACTTAAATTCCAAATAATTCTTAGATGCTGGAATAAATTCCACTCATAGGAATAAAAAAAATACATGATGAATAGTCAGTCTTACATAGTGTCACAAAACAAGCTGCAAAAGTGGTTGCTATTAATTTAGGAGCAAGAGGGCAAATTTCACATGTACCCTAATGATTTAAATCCAGACACTGTCAGTTAAAATTCTGAATGAAGGTAAATGTTTTAAAGTGATGCTGCATCCTGTGAGGTGCATTAATTTAACAAGTATTGCTTAATCAATTAAAGATGAAAATAATCTGATTGTGAGACTCAGTCTTTGAGAAGACACGAATAGGCCTTTTAAACATTAACTTTCCAAAACTGTCAAGTTACATGTACTTGACATTAAAGCTGCAAAAGCATTAAAGTTACAAAAGCAGCGACTCCCTGCAGCTTTTCAGCCTGAAATTAAAGTATTACATGGATGATTTTTCATCCAGAGAATGTTAATGAAACTTGCTTTGTGCTGGGACACAATGGGAGGCTCCTCTTGGCAGACCCCACGTTCTGCTGCAGCCTCACCTCCCTCCCCTCAGAGCCTGCAGCGATGCTGTGGGGTCACCTCAGTGCACATCCCAAAGCTCTGCTGCCCAAAGCTGCCCTGGGATCTTCAGGATCTGAGTCCTGCAGACAAACAGGGCAGATCTGAGCCAGCCTGGAACACTGAGGGAATGTCTTCGGACAAAACATGCTGAAGGGAATTTGAAAAGGTTGAATCAGGAAATTTAACCCCTCCAGCCTTCTCACTGTATTATGGTGATAACACAGTCAGACTCACATTTTGATATCTCAGAGTTTAAATTTTGTTACTGTTTTGGTATCTCAGAGTTTAAATTCGTGTGGCCAAGGGATACTAAAATTAGAACCAAGAGCCCCTTCCCAGCTCCACAAGTGAGAGCCCTTCCAGGAGGAGTGTGAAGGAAGTAAAATGCACTTTCACTGTGCACTTTGCTGGGACAGGAATAGAAGTGATTTTTCAGTCAAGTGACAGGTGAAGAGCAAAATTGAGCTGCAGCATTTTCAGCCAGACTTTAAACCCCCTCAGTGATGAAACAGGGCCATCTGTGTTACTTGTACAGCTGCTCCAGGATGGATCAGCTCCTTCTGACTGTTTTTCTACTAATTCCACCAGTTGCCCCAGAGTTTTCATCCTGCCCCAGCCCCTGTGCTGTGTCTCACACCTCACAATGTCAGTCCCTGCCAATCCTTGCACAAGTTCTGGAGGACCTGAGAAAATCTGAGTGGGTCTGCGCTGGCTGCCCCTCTGAAAAAGAGTAAAATTAAATGTTATCCACAAAGGAAGCTGGAAAACAAAGCAGATAGAATGAACCATGCTTGTGTATCACAAACCCCAGTGTTGTGTTACGGCTAAAGAGTCACCAGCTGGGAGGTTAAATATGTTTATTTTAGTAGTGTAAGGTGGTTTTACAAACAAATTCTTAAATTTTGCAATATACACAAAAGAATCATTACAAAGGCAAAATATCCTCTCAATAATAGGGACTCTATGCAGCCTGAAATAAAATTAAACCTCTGTTTCTCTTTAAAATGCATCTCAGTAAACATTCTTCTCCATCACTGATAAAATGTACATCTATAATAAATGACATCATAACTGGGGACTGGGGGGGACACATGACAACATCCCTAAAAAAAAAACGTAAAAAAAAGGGGAAAGGAAAAATTATTACTCTGCTTAGGTTGTTATTTAATTCTAAATATGTCCATCTAAAAAAATTAAATATCTCTTTTTTTTTAAACATATCATTGAAAACTTTGCATGGCAGTGCAATACAGAAATAGTAAAATTTATCCAAAAAGTGCTATGTACAGCAGCATTGTTAAAATACCATAAGAAGGGACAGTGCTGTTTCAAGAAAAGACTAACATGCTTTGTAGCCATTTCTGAAGTAAAGTCAGAAGATATTTCTATTTTTAGCCATTCCCTTCTCTCTCCTGTCTCAATTCCCTCAGACAATGCCTTGAGACAAGGAGCAGTCACAGTTCAGGTTCAGGGTGTGCATGTGTACATACATGTGCAGACATATCTTTGCATACACACAGGTGTATATATATAGATATTTATATATATATATATAGATATATAAACAGGATGAGTTTATAAAAGCATTGCTTTGGAACAAGAGAGCTTTTCTTCAAAGAGAAAATATGGATTTTCACTGAAATAAGCAGGTCCACGATGGAAGATGGACTGTATCTACTGCATTATTAATTCACACCCTCAGAGGCCTCAAACTCTTCCAGAAAATAAAATGTGATTTTAAGTCCAGCCTCCTTACATGGATCCATGATTTGTAAGAGCAAAATTCACCTTAGCTGTGGTTAGCATCACATTTAGCTATTACACATCAAGGTTACTATTGTCAGAAGAATTATTGAAATTAGTAAAGACCAAGAGCAAACTGCAAACGCAAGAAGTGCTCACACACAAAGGAGGTCTGATTGGAGGCTGGGCAAAGCGCAATTAACGACAAATCCTCATCAGTTCCTTTGGAGTTGTGATCTCAAGCACCCTTGGCTCAAGGGAAGGCCAGGAAGCTCAGGATTACTTTGGGCCTCTCAGGTTTTGCTGTGCCGGCAGTGCCCAGCACCGCCAGGGTCACAGTTTGAGCATGAAGAACACCTCGGTGTCGGCCGCGCACTCGGGCTGGGCCTTGGGCGAGGCCGCCAGGGCCGCGTGGGCAGCGGGGTCGGTGCAGCCAGCCCTGCCCACGCTGCAGGCGCCCTCGGGGTTGCCCCTCTCCTCGATGGGGCTGCCCCCGAGCTGTGCCCGGCCCTGCAGGCGCTGCCTCTCCTGGGCCTGCCTCGCCCTGTTGGCGATGTAGCGCACGCGGCTCTGGCTGCGCGACGACGAGCGGCGCAGCAGCCCCACGCTCTCGCCCTCCTCCTCCGACTCGCTGGGCTCGAGGCTGATGGGGGAGGTGATGTCGTTTTCCTGCTGGAAGGCTGTCAGCTTCTTCAGCTGCTCCGTCAGTTCATCCCGGGATTTGGCCGAGGGCCGCAGGCTGGCGGAGCGGCGCTGCTCCCGCATGGAGCGCGTGACGAAGCTCCTGCTGATGCTGCGGTATTTGCTTTCAAAAGTGCACACGATATCGTCAGAGGTAAGGTCCCCGAGGCTTTTGGACTTTGTCTGGTTATTCCCGACCGTGTCATGCGCTTTGGATTTGTTAGAGGACTGCCTGAGGCTCTCCATGTAGAGCCTGCTCCAGGTGTGCCTTCTAGGAATGGACGAGAAGGCGTCCTGAGGGCTCCTGGCCAGGGGCCGGGGGCACAGCTCGTCGGCCGGCAGCTGGCCAGACCTCAGGTTGGGGTTGGACTTGCTCTTGCTGACCATTGGCATCTCGCTGCTGCAGGTGGTGGCGGAGCGGGGGCGCATGCCCTTCCTGATGGCCAGGGGCTCCAGGCTGTCCTGGCGGATGCCCAGGTCCGGGAGGCTTTTGCGGGCCAGGCTGGGGAGGGAGAGGTCGATGACGGTGTCGTTGGAGGACATGCTGGACGAGGAGGACATGCTGTCACGGTGGCTGGCACAGTCCAGCTTGCTCCAGATCCGGTCATTGACAGTGGCATCAAAGTACACTTCAGCTGCTGGAGACTGGCTGCTCGGGGTTTTTATTAAGGCTGAGGAGTCTGATGTCTTCAGTCCTTCACTCTTTGCCCTTCTTGCCAATGTGTAAGAGCTCGTCTGGGAAACAGAGACAGGGAGAGGCTGTGCAGCCCAGGCTTTCTGAGGAGAATCTGCCTGGGGGCTGTTACTGACACTGCTTTGCTGGGGTGGAACAGCTGCTGCACCCAGGTTTTGCCCTTTGCATTCAGAGGTGCTTTTCGTGTCTGCTGATACCTGACCTGGTTGGTTTTGCTTCTGGCAGTTTCCTACAGGTTGGCCAGCACTGTGATCTGCTGCCTCTACCAGCCTGGCTTTTTTGGGATGTGCTGCCGATCCACCCTGATCTTGAGCCTCACTGCTCTGTGTCCAGACATTTCCTTCTGTGGGACATCCTGCCACGTTTGTCCTCTCATCCTCTGGGGCTCCTAAACCTCCGTCAGCTGCTCTTGGGACATCCCGCCCTTGGTCTTCTGCAGCCAGATTGGTTCCTTGTTCCCTGGAGGGTAGGGGCTCTTGAGGCTGGTTGGGTGTTCTGCTTCCCTCTGATGGAGCCTCGGTGGAATGGTCAGAGCCAGATCCTTCCTCAGAGTCACTGTAGGAGGCAACAGGCAGGGGGAAGAGAAGGCTGCAGTGATGGCCCTCACTGGCAAGGACAGGCTCTTCTGTGATCGTTTCTAGGCTGCATAAAGAACTGACTGACCTCTGCATGGAGAAGTGGCAGACATCTGCTTGGAAGGCACGAAAAGAAAAAGAAAGGAACAGGAAAAAGAGAGATACAGGGTTAGTTATCTCTTAAAAATTACAGCTGAGCTTAGATTCATTCCTTATGTGTTACTATTTTGTTCTCAAGGTACAAGTTGTCCATGTTAATCACGATTTAAAAAATAACTTGAGATTTTAAATGCCTGGCCAAAGGCAGCAAAACATTTTGCACATTCAGTTTTAGCTGCACAAAGCCCTGTTGCTTCAAGAAATCTCAGTCCATGCAAGCAGCACCATGTGACTGTTCTGGTTTTCTTATCAAACAACAGCACTACCCAGCAATTTTTGCCCTTTGTGACCCCTTTTGTAAACCAGCTTTTCTTCCTCCACCATCCAGCACCACTTGATTTTCAGTTTTCCTTCCTTCCAGCATTTAAACAGGTCAGGGTATCAGAGCACAAGCAGAGCATGTACAATGATCAAACAGCAGTTTGACCAGCAGATGTGATCCCAGTGACCAACCACTCAGAAGAGAAGCAGCACAGGACTTGTGGAGCAGATTACAAATGATCTGCAGACAGTGGAATGTTAGCAATGGGACTTTTAAAAACAAAACAAAAGCTTTAAACAGACTTTGTTCTTCCTAAAAAAAACTTGGTAATTTCTATTTCAAAAAAAAAAAAAAAACAACTCTGCAGACAGATGGGTCATGAACAGCAGGCTGTGAGAGCAACCCTGGAGAATCACTCCAGCCACCAATTACCTGGAGAAAATGCTCCATTCTCTGCAGTGTTTATCACCTGCACCCCAGGAGCCAAAGCAATCATGCCCAGAAGATGATTCCCCATATCTCCAAAGCACAGTGCAGACATGCATTCCAGAACTAACAAAGCACCACCAAGGCAGACCACGACCTCAGGGACACAGGAGCAGGAAATTATAGGGCAGCAAACAGGGAAAAACCAGGGCTACAGGCAACAAGGTGCTGAAATCAGGGACACTCAGCAGACATTACCTTTGACTTGCTTGTCCTTTCAGTTCTTAACTAGACAGAGAGAGTGTGCATGTAGAATAATAGGACAGAACAGAGGAAAAATCCAATTAATGTAGGGAAGGCAGGTGCAGATAACAGGATAAATTAGTGCTCAGGGAGGGAAAGGAGACATACAGGAATATCCACACATGGTTGTAGGATCCTAAGAATTTCTGACCAACCAGAGCACTCAATGGGATCCACACATGGACAGATATTAAGTTCATTTTTTTTATCATAGAAGGATGAAAATATTTGTTGGTGTTGAAGGAACACACTCCACTGGACGGGGAAATGGAATCACAGAATCACAGAAGCAGAGTGGCTTGTGATGGAAAGGACCCTAAAAATCATCAAGTTTCAAGTACCCTGACATAGGCAAGGACACCTTCCAGGTGGCTCAGAGGAATCTGAACTGCTCCAAAGCCCTCTCCTAACCCAAATCCAACATTCCAGACTCTCAGTGCCTGGAGGAGTGTCAGGAAGGGCCCAGAGCTGATCAGATTTATAAATTCTCCTTCTGCCCATCCAGCAGCACGGATTAGGGCACACTGGGAAGGGAAATCTCTGGAAAAATGTAATTTTGGGCCAGCTATAGTAAGAATAAATATTATTAAATATATTTATATTATATATTATTGTTAAATATAGATCAATATATTTATATTTGTTTACATGTTGCATATTTATATAGAACATATATTTATATTATATAAATAATTGTTATAAAATATATTTATTTAATATATAATAAAGGGCCAGCTATAGTTTCCTGCCTTATCCCAGGGCACTTCCCCCAGCAGAATGCCAATTCCCAAGTGCAGCCATGGAGCTGGTTTCCCTGGTTTCCTGGCCCAAGGCATGGCCTTGCAGGAGTTTGGGAAAGGGAGCTGTTTGTGCAAACAGAGGGGCTGTCACTGGACCAGCAGCAGCCAGTCCAAGGCACCATTTCACCATTTTAAGGGTTTGCTGATTCCATGCTTGGGAAGTCAGATGGATTTAATCAAATTTCAAGCATATCACAATATTTGTTCAGTGACTTGGGGGGCTGGCAGGGGAGCTGGCACTGATAATGGGAAATGGTTTCATATGTCACAGTACTCAGAGTTTGTGAAAAGCCCAATGCCAATAATTTAGGCATAGAAAGAGTTCTGCTGCTTTGGATTAACTGCAAGTCACGGGAACCAGCAAATTTCTCCCCTCCCATTGTCCTGGTATTTTCCTAAAAGCCTGAAGCAGATATTGGAAAAATATGTTTATTTAAAAAAAAAAAAGGTATAAAAAAATAGAAGGTAAATTTCAGACAGCAAATCAGATGAAATTGGTCAAATAAATAAAATATCTGAAATTTCTGTATGAGGCTTTCAAAGAAGCCCACTATAGGTGAGCAGTTAGAATCTGTTATTAAAAAAGGGAAAAGCACCAAAATAATTTCACTGTTCCTGAACATGTAATCATCAGTGTCCACATTTCTTGGACAATTAGCAAGGAGGGTGAGGGATTTGAGGAGGAGCTCTTGCAGTCACAGCCAAAAGCTGCATTTCCTACTTTCTCCTTACAGTTCTGGGAAGCAGAAAATTCTTATCCAAATCTCTTTCCTTCTGTCCCATTCCTGCCAAATCAGGAGCAAAAATGCCATTTTTCTCACTAAAAGCCATCCTTTGATTGCCTCTGCTTTGATTTCCCATCTCTACAAACTCCCAGTTCATGGTACAGGTGCAGCCACACAGTCCCAGTTTGAAACAACCACAAAGTGCTGCAGCTTTAGGAACTTTCCCCTAAGTTTTGGGCACATTTTGGGTGGCAGTGGGGAATGGCAGGAGTGCCCCAGCCTGGCTGATGCCAGGGAGCAGCAGATCACACCCTGTGCCCTCAGGCCAGGAACATCACAGCACAGCAGAAGTGTTTGCACACACATTTAGGAGCAGAATGGGCTGCTGTGTTTATAAAATACATCTCCTGAAGAGAGAAACCCATCCAGTAATTCCTGGACTGACAGCAGTGATTTTGCAAGATCTTTGAGGAGGGAACAGGTTTATTGTTATCAGAGGGCACATTAGGCATCATTCCTGATGTGGTTATCCCTCAGTGGAACACAAAGGTTGATAATGGAAATATTGTTTGTTGATGTGGGTTTTCCATATTTAATCTCACTTAATGCTCTGGTTTGGATCTTAAAATTTACTTAGTATCATACCACATTCACTAAGAAAATCAAGGAAACAAAAAGCCCTGAACAAACAACCCCAACATTTATGGACTACTGACAGTGCCACTACTGCAGATGGTTAACTAGGCATGGCAAGGACTAAGCTAAACCAGACACTTCTACAAAAAAAGAAAATAAAAATATTTATGCAGATTTTTTTTCTTCTGTCATTGCCAAAATTAAAAAAAAAGACCTCTTGACAGCCAAACAACATGGAGGAGCTTCTAAGTAAGGATGCTATGCAGAAGCTGAGACAATGACGTGATCTACAGTGGAGAAGGGTGAAGAAAATCTGGTCTTACCAGTAAAGAATATAGGGGATTTACTTCGAATTTCCTCCAATTTTTGAACGAACAAGGCGTTCATTTCCCTCTGGAGGGTGCCCACTTGCCTTCGAGAAGGTTCAGCCCAGTGCTTGGGGAATTCTGGGCTTCCAAGACTTTCTAGACTGCTGGAGTTGGAGGACACAGAGCCATTGCTGGCTGCAACCAAGTTGACAGTGCTTCCATACTTGCCACCAGAGTGGCCCTGCCAGCGCTGCCGGGGCTGAGCCTTTATCCCGTGGCCCTTAGAGTCACCACTCGTCTTCCCTGGGCTGCTCCTCCTCAGGTCACCTGCAGTTCCAGGGCTGCTGCAGGGCTGCAAATCTGAGAGTGGCCTGGGCTGCCCTCTGACCACCCAGGTGTGCAGCTCCACCCTCTCCTCTGCACTGCTGCCCTGCAGGGGCTCTCTGGCCACCGTGGGCCTGCCAGGGTGGTCACTCCATGGCCCCTCAGGGTCAGGGCTCTCTTTGGAGCCAATCATGCATTTCATGCAGTTGGTGGCCACTCCGATCCTGCCCGAGCTGTTGATGGCACAGCGGGCAAAGACGCTCGGCTTCTCGCCCAGGGGCTCCTGCAGCCTCACCCTGTGTGCCCTGGGCAAGGGCTCGCTGAAGGGAGCCCCGGGGTGGGCACAGCTCTGCCCTGGCCCCTGGGGACAGCCCTGGGCCTTACCTTTCAAGCCCTTGCCAGGTGCCTCCCCAGCGGCACCGTCTCGGGGAGCTGGGGACGGGGAAGCGCTTTCTGGCTCTTGCACAAAGCGAGGCTGGGAGGCAGCTTCCACTTCCCTCCCTTCTCCAGCCCCTGCAGAGCTGCTGTCCTTTGTGTCAAAAGCAATTTCTGGAAAGCCCTTCTTGTTCTTCTTCTGGCTCTTGGTGGGTGCACTGGCCGTCCGTCTCAGGATGTGGCTGCTAAAGGAATGTTTGCGATGGAGCTGCCCAGCAGCATGACTGTCCAGAGAGGCCTGCTTTGGATTTCTGAGAAACAGCCCTTTTAGACCTAGAGCTTGTTTGGCCTGCAAAAGAAATAAGAAGAGAATAAAAACATTAAAATAAAAATAATAGCAAAAGAAAATAATAGAAAAATAAAAATGCAAGGCTCTTCCTCCCGAGCACAGGAACTCATGAACAAATGATCGTTCGCACACAGTTTCCTGATATATTCCTGCCATCAGCATGAGAACTAACCCAGAAATAGGACAGGCATTAAAAATGAAAAAAAAAAAATCACTAACAGCAGCCTTGCAATATAACACATCTTTTTTTTTTTTCTCAGCTATGTTTTTAGATAACATTTTGCAGCCACACTTATCTCTGTATTTGTCATCGTTTTCTTTCTAGCATGTAATTACTTACAACATCTACATAAACATTAGAGCTATTGAAAAGACAACAGCAAAAAAAAGGAAATACTTCTGTCTACAAGGCTTTCCTTCAGAAAGCTGAAGAGTTTCTCAGTTTCACCCAAAGCAGATGCATTTAAAATTCCTGCTGTAAATGCATTTTCTAGGAACTGCTAGGAAATAAACACTGGCCATAAAATAGAATATTTTTTTCAATATAAAGGAGATCTACACTCGAATTGAATTGAGCACTGTCATGAATAGCAGTTAACTATACACACACAAAAGATCATGGAGTATTTCAATTTCTACCTGTGTGATTGCATTTTGGTAATTTTTCCTACCATACAACACTTATCCCAAGACACTGGTGTATGTGTTCAGCACTGAGGAAACACACTATAAACAAGGGAAGTTAGTCAGTGTCACATTACAGTTGTCCACAGTCTTCAGTAGTTATTTAAGCATTAAACACACAAATTCACCATCATAAATCTCCCACCACCATACAACTGATTTACATTTCAATGAAACAGAGTTCCAGCATTCCTGCAAACATTCCAGGTGTACTTGCCAACTCTCCAAGGCCAGGCTGATGCCTGAGTCAGCGTTGGTTCGCTCTGAGCACAGAGATCACTTCAGGCACAGCAAGGTATTTCTCTTTTCATCTACTTCTCCCCCTTTGCTGTCCTTATTTCCCAGCTGGATCAGAGTTTTGAGCAGCTGTAGCATCCAGAATGAATAAAGCCAGGGTGGATCATGGCTGAAGTGCATTTTAGGAAGCCAGTGGCAGACCCTGACCAGCAGCCGCTGTCACTTCCACTTCTGCCCTGAGATGTCACATGAGGCCACGTTTCTGCTGTGCCAAACAATGGCACAGAAGTGTCTCATTTAAATTACAACGGTCTTTCACCCCAAAATAAATATTTGAGTGCCTGCTTGTGCATTTCCAGTTCTGCTGTGCAGGACTTAATGCAGATATTGGCTGCCCTGTGCACTGAGCTGGGCTAAGAGCTGATTTTACCCCAAGTGTCCTGCCCAAGCTGCCCTGTGGGACCAAGGTTTATTTGGCTGACACAAGGGCCAGTAAAATTGTTCATAATATTATTTTTATATAATATTTAGTAAATTATAATTGATTGAAGTTTACTTATCACGTGCCAATTTCCAGTGTGAGTAAGACATTATCAAAAATTACCTTTAGGATAAGATAGAGATGGTGGAGTTTGATTTTTCCCATGCAAGGCAAATATTAAATATTGGAAAATCATCTGTGAGAGCCAGACTATTGAACAATCTGGATTACTGGGAGACAAGTTGGCAAGTACATGAATTTTTTGCTATAAAAATCAGACAATATAAATATTTGCAAAACCCAGAAAAAACTGTCATACAAACAACACAACCAAATAATATCCACCAAAAAGAAAAGGGAAGGAATGGGAGGCAGTGCAGGGCCCAAGGTGTCATTCTGGCTTGTTTGCTGCAGCTTTGTTAAGCTGGACACTGTTGCTTGAATCAATGGAGTGATTCAAGAACACAAAGGCAGATTTGATTAACTTAGGGGGGAAAAAAAAGTCTTAAAAGAAGGAAAAAAAAATAAAAGAGAGCAGTTTTGAGGGAGATCCAGGACACTGTGCTTTCAGCTTCCAGCCCAGCTTTTACAGGGCTGTTTCACTCTGGAAAGCAGACTTGAAAAACAGCACAAGAGGCTTTCCCCCAATTTAGCAAATGATTCACTGTCAATGTTCTTTTCTGTGTGAAAGAAGGGCTCTGAATTGCAGCCCTCCAGAGAAAAGGCAGGAGAGGGAGAGGCTCAGAGCAGGGGGAGAGTGGCAGGAACTTTATCCTGGATCTGCTTCACACGGGGAGGGCTCTGTGGCTGTCAGTGACCCCACAGGGGTGACCCAGCCAAATGTCACAGTCCATGTTCCATGAGTTGGAGAGCTCAAAGATGCTACCAAGGAAAAGGTTGATGCTAATGAAGCCACCAGCTCAAGGCATGCAGGTGTGTGGTGGTGTCTGCACCTCCCTGGGACAGGAGGGGTACCTTCAAGGCGTCTAAAAACGCTCTGCTTCTAAAAGGAGACTTTTTTGACATAGAGAAGCCCACTGAAATCACAAACAGACAGAGTAAAGGCAGAGTAACAGTGAGGGAGGAGCTCAGAGATAGGCACATCTAGAAAAACCACAAGAAATTCTGCACTACATCAGCAGACCACAGAAGAGACAGAAACAAAGAAAAGTCTTTCCAGGAAACAGAGCAGTCTGAAAGAGATTTCACACACAAGTTAAGATTCTTTTTTTCACCTAAGACTCTTTTAGTAATACCAAGCTACTGAGCAGGTGGAATATCTCCATTTATAAAAAAGTCTCAAAATGTAAATGTTTGCATTAGAATCTCTGGATTAATAAAGAATGGGTAAAACCAATTAATAAAGAAAGGGTAAAAACCAAACCAGGCTGATAACTGGGGTGATTTTTCTGCCAGAAAAATTTTCCCCAGAGAGGAGAAAAGAAAAAATACTAATTTGGACAGCAGTCTGTTAACCAAAAATCAAAGCAAAAAGGTATTCAGACAGACCAAACCAGAAAGGGATGTGTAATATTTGTTCCACATTTTCAGAGGTTTTTATTAAAAATTATAAATTAAAAAAAAAAGACAAAAAAAAACCCCACCAAAACAAAACCACAACACATACAGATTTTCCTTTCAAATCCTTGTATTTTGTCTGTGCACAGAACCTCTTCCTAACAGCAGCAAGCCCAGAGAGACTGAAGTGACCATGAGAAGCAATCAGGGAACACCAAGAAAAATCTATGTCCCAAAAAAAAACTGCCAAAGTTTCAATGGGAATTTGCCCTTCTGCAAACTGTCCCAGCCAGTCACTCATGAAGAAGTTAGGAAGAGCAAATTATTATGAAAGGCCAGGAAATTAAGGCTAAACAGAGAGAATTTGCCAAAGGAGGTTTGAATTGAGAATACTTCACTGCTGAAGAGGATGAACATCGGCCCTTCCATTAAACACTGCTGGCAAGGGCAGCGACTGGAGCTGAGTAACTGAGTGATCAATAAGTATAAAAAAGCTGTTTTCCTGTTCAGGATTGCTCGAATTTCCCTCTGGAGGAGGAGCTGGGCATTCCCAGCCCGCTGGATGCCTCCTCCTGCTGTCCTGATGCTGAAATTGCATCTCACTGCTGCGGGACCAACTGGGGTCCTGCGAGGAGCTCTGCACCCGATTTCACTGGCATTAACAGCCCTGAACGTTGCTGATGTTTTACTCGTGCTTGAGTAGGTTTTTGTAACACTTTGGCTTTGAAATTAAAGAAGAAAAATGAGAAAACAAAGGAGGCAGAGAAGCTTTCTTTCCTCCTGCTGTCATGATGCTGATATTGCATCTCACTGCTGCAGGACAAACAGATCCTGCAAGGAGCTTTGCACCTGATTTCTTCGGCATTAACAGCACAGATCACTGCACTCAGAGCACAGGAGCTGCCTCCTTTTTATCTGGCCTAGGACAAGTCTGAAATTAGGGCTTTGCTTTCGTGGAAATTGAGATGTGGCACACTAAGAGTTGTTTATTTCCTGCACGTGAGGAAATCACACCCCTAATAACACACAAGGAGTGTAAATATTACCAGCATCACCTTTCCTCTGCATTTTAAGAGTTATTATGGCAAAAAATCCAAAGTAAATAAGCTTGAAGAATTTAATTAAATTTAAAATGCTAAAACATTGGACAGAGCCTTTAAAGCAGCAGCTTTGCAGGGAGCAAGTGCTCAGGGTTCAGGTGTGCCACCTTTGGTTCAGCAAGGTGCACTCACAATCACATTATTTATATAAATGCGTGTGCTGCAAGGAAATTACTTTCCCCTATGGCTTCCTCAAAAAGGCACTGCAAGAATCCCTTTTATCACTTTCCCTACAATTTGCCTTTATCTCCATGGACATTCAGAAAGATCTCAGGCTACCACGACAAGCACAGAGATCAGTTTTACTCCAAGTGAACAAAAATGCCAGCCTGGACCTTGACCCACTGAGCTTCCCTGGTGTGATACAAGGTGCTGGCAGCTCCTGTGGGGGTGCTGCTCAGCACAGACACTCACCTTACCACAGATGTCATTTATAGCCACATGCACAAAGATGGAAGCCTCTTCTATGCCCTCCAGGTACACGTGTCTGTAACCTGAAACAGAGGGAGCAGAGCTGGAGCAAGGCTGGCACAGCAGGAGCAGCTGGAGGTTTTCCTTTTAGGAGCAGCAGAAGAGACCAAGCAGGATTCTTCCAGCTCCTCCTCACAGTGAGGTTCCAGGCTTGAGCATCACCTTGCCACACTCAGGTGTAGCTGAGCCACACCACGTGCAAACTTCCCCCCCATTTTTTGTCATGATTTCACAGAACAGCCCTGTCCTGTTTCATCCAGGCTCTGTTATTGCTGCTGTCAAGCCATGATTTAAGCTTGACCACATTCTGGACTTTTAGTCCATAATTGAGACTGCAAACCTTTCATCCAAGGTCAGTTTAGTGAGAATGGATGGGGTTTTTTAATCTTAAAGAGAAAATTTTTTCTTTACTTTGAAAGGAAAGAAAAATACACACACACAAGAAGTTTTAATGTGAAAGAAGACTGAAATGAAAACAGAAAGAGGAAACTGTCAGAAAATGGCATTTAATGGCCTGGATCCCATCATTAGAATAGGTAACTTTATGAGTAGTAGTTTAACACAGAACAGAGTCACAAACCCAATCAAAACTCTAGAGTTTTTTCAAAAACTGGTGTGAAGAAAGAGAGGACAAAGCAGTAAAGGAGTAAAGTATCTAAAACCCACAGTATTTACCCTGCTTAACAATCTTACCTATTTTTTCAAAATCTAGTCCCAAAAATCTAGAGTTAATTGATTTAGTCTTCATCACCATATCAGTCAGGAGCTGACTAAGGCAGAGAACTCAGGGCCCAGACTCCAGCTTTTCTTGTTCTAACTAGAAATTTCTGCAGCAGATCCATTAATTTTGATTTTTCCCAGGAAAAAAAAATCCCAGCCCATTGATTTGGGATGACTCTTTCTCTTACCTGGCATCATGCTGCTGAAGGCAATTGTCCTCTGCCCGATGAAATCCCTCCCGATGGGGTCGTGGTCCCACACCAGGAACCGGATCAGGGCAATCTCCGGCATGTGCACTGTGAACACCAAGGTCTCCTCCCACATGGGGTTAAAACCTTCCAAAGGGGGAATCAGCCTTCAGGAATCTCATTCACAGCAAACAACAAGTCTGCCTAAGCTGTGGTGTCACTCTGGTTTTCCTGACAGATTGGTTGCTCTTGAAAAATCCAGTATTCCCACAAGGAACAGAGTTGGGTCTTGCCTAAATTTGGCCCTGCTTCCAGCAGGGGATTGGCCAACCTGCCTTTTTGACCACAGCGAGCTCAAAACACCCTTCTCCCACACATAATGAGAAAAAAAAATGTTTTGTTTCATACCAAGACCAACTCAATCAAACAAGTCAAGATCCAAGTCTAATTAGCATTAAAAATGCTGAAATCCAGTTTTCAGTGCTTTGTCATAATAGGCACCAAATCTTATCTACTCCTATTTTTATGAAAAAACCTGCCTGAAAGAGGATGTTTCAGCCATAAAAATCCCAGACAACCTTACCATTATCATCAACTACTCTGGTTTGTTCTTTGAAGCAATCAACAGGTAAGCCTATAACTTCTACTTCAACAAATGGATCTATGATCTGAAAAACAAAAACCAACAAATATTGAAAAGAAAGAGTGACAAAGAAGATGGAACCCAAGCAAATGGCTTTTACAATATGGGCACTGTACAGGAATGTCTGGGTAATTATTGCTCCTGAGCCTTATGGAGTGGATTATTAAATTGATAAGATCTCTCTCCCTTTTTTTTCTTTTTGCTTCTCCTGGAAGGACTGTGCTGGCAGTTGGAGGAAAACCATCAAACCACAACTGTGATGTTTAAAAGTAAAAAAACACCACCAGAAGGTGTAGGATGTTCATGACCTAATTTATTCATGGTCTGTGTGTGCTGACAAGTAACTGCAGGGTGTGAAATCCTCCTGCTTAGCCCAGCCAGTATGAAAATAAACCTTCTGCACCACAAAATAACAACCTCAGCTGTCCCATACCTCTCCTCTGTCTCCCAGCATGGAATCACGTGGTTTGGGGAGTTGTTGACCACTGATAATTCTTAGAACCAGCTGTTTCTTCAATTGACCAGGCAGTGGGTCTTCAGAATTTGGGTTAAAGACACCTGTAAGAATAGAGAATCCCATCATGTGAAAGTGCAACTTGACTTTAATTACAGATACCTTGGGGCTCTTTTGCTTCTGGCATCAGAAATGAATTTTTAAACAAACTGTACCAAGGCCTCACACTCAATCTGTCCTGCAATCAGTGTTCCCCTGGTTTTGCTGGTTTTCCTTACCTTGACACATGCAGTTGGGTTTGAGGACATAGCCACAGTTCCCATTGGCACTGAATTTGGCCCGGTTCAGTTGCAGCATTCTCCCCTCTGACTGGTAGTTTAGTGCAACTATTAAAAAAAATAAATAAATCTGATTCAAATTTGACTTCTTAGATGCAAAACAAAATCAGATATCTTATGGAAAATTATTCTCTTATATTAGAGCTTCAGGGAGAGAAGCTCTCCAGAAGAACTGAACTCTGAAGACCTCTTGCATTTGAGAAGTTCATTTATTTCCATTTACCAGACAACTCCTTGCATGTAAGACACATGTTCAAGGTAATCAATCCAGGGGCAGTACCAAGGAGGACTCCATGGTCAGCAAAGCTGGATAAGCAGAGGACTCAGAGTGCCCTAAGGGGTGATTCCAGTGCTCCTATTCAAACATCCCCTTGGATTAAGCTCTTTTCTGACCCAGGGATGGGGCAGCTGAGAGGTGTTCCAAAAAATTTTATTCTATTTTTAGTCTCATGTGAAGGGTGAGACAATACGGATGTTATAATTCACACCATCAGAATCAGAAGCCAACTATTTCCTAATTACAATATCCTATAAGCATTTCTTGGCCTATCAGCTTTTGTTACACAATGTTGTAAATGTTTTAAAGCAAATCATCTAAAATTACCCCTTGTAAGCCTTACTACAATGCATCTTTCATAGTTCTATTTCTCTGAAGTATCCAGTCTTATTTGCAAAGCCACCCTTTGAAACTCCTTTCTAGTTCCATTTCTCTCTCAACAACATCTATCCTACCCCGTGGACAGAATCCTCTACAAACCCATTTCCCACAGCATCCCTCCCAAAATAAAACCCAAAAAAAAAAATTAAATAAATAAAGGGGTTTCAGCTCACCAAGTTGGCAGCCGGCATTCCAGAAGGGCTGGGGGTTGTAGTTGCTGGAGTCCACCCTGTAGGAGGAGGGGTAGATGCGGGACAGCTGGTGCTGGTTGAAGCGCAGGTACTGCGCTGGCTTCTGCTGCAGGATCTGGTGGGCCTTGGTTTCACTGAAAGATGAAACCTGCCAGCTGGAAGAGACTGCAGAGGAGATTAGAGGTAATCTCCTTATTCATTTATTTATGATCTAGATAAAGCTTTCAAAAGTACATAGCATTAGTTCCTTTTTAGCTATCAAGCATCATTTCAGTGCATGCCACTCAGAGGGAACTCTGTTTTCCTTAAATTACAGCAGACACTCTGCTTATTGGGGCAGTTATGGTTGGGAAAGTGAAGCTGAATATGATGATGACCTGAACCTTCATTAAGAAGTCTTCTTTTAATGAAAAGATATGTAAGAACATAAACATTTCCATTTCTTTGTGCAGCAATTATTTTCACCAAACTTTTAGTTCAACTTACTTTCAGTTTCAACATCATGGATGCCAACTGACTTTGTGTATTTCACCAGGTCAGACAGGGCCCTGGACAGCTTCATTGTCTTCTTCTGTCGGCTTACCCTAGGAAGGTAACAAATTAACAGAACAAATTAACTTCCCATCCCCAGTTAAGGGGTAAATGTTATCTTTCCTACTTAAAAATAAATCAGGGTAAAGAAATGTATGAGACAGTAAGAACTCAAAATGCATAAAAGGTCCACTGTGCTTGGCTAATAAATCTGAAGAGCACCAAGAGATCATTCTGGTGATTTTGTGGCAGACAATGACATCTCCCCACTGCAGCCACCAACAAACTGGTATCTAGACCAGAAGCAAACCTATTTAGTGGGTGCATTTATGCTGGCATATTTTAGCAACAAAGTTGTCCAATCATTTAACAAACCTGCTGTAATGTACAGAGCTCCTGGCTAAATTCCCTTGAGAATCCGAATCGTCTTCACCCTCTTCCAGACTTGATGCCTTTTTCAATTTGCTTCCTTTTTTCTGTGCCAGAAGGAAATAAAACCATAATATCATAACTGTGTGATCAAAGTTTGAGCAGCTGGCTACAATTCTGCTTTGTTATGCCAATGAGTGTGTTACTTAGAGAAAATGGAAAATGACAGCTTTTGTAACACTCGGCTCTGCAGCAAAATTTGCACCTGGGGGAAACTCAGTCCAGGGTCTGAGCCTTGTTACAAAGGAAGCACAAATCTTCAGATAAAAGGTGTAAATTAATTTCTGTGGTTCTCAGCTAGATCTTGGATGCCCTCAGCCCTTCATGTAGATTGAATCCGTGATGTTATGCACAATGATAAGCAGCTCCCCAGCCTGTCTGTTCAGTGAACAGCCTCACAGCGAGGTGCTGCAGATGTTGCAGTTATGAAATTCCTCTCCAGTGCATGCAAAAATAAAAATCCCTCCAAGAATCCAAGCTCTGGTGCCAAGCCCTCACCTTGGCAGGGGCTCACCTTGCGTTTGGAGAAGCTGCCCATGAGTGACCTGCTGGGCCTCTTGCTGGCACTGAAATCTTCCCCGGATTCTGCATCATCCTCAAGTTTACTCTGAAGCAAGCAAAGAGAGAGGAAAGAACACAGGAGCTCAGACAGAGTGCTCAGACAGAGGTCTCTGGGTACCAACACAAACAGGAGGGGATTTTAGCACTGACTATTCTGGGTAACATCTCTGCTAAAGGGTTTGTCAAGCCTTGGCCTTGCTTGGCTCTCACAAGAATTCTCTGATACGTCATGTAAAGCATTGGGTTTAAAATACATCAAAACTCACCCACAGAATGTTTTGGGAACCTGATTTTTAGTTCTCATCCCTAGTTTAGTTTTAATCCCTGGTTATTGCACCTGCTTATTGTTGGCAGATCTCCACTGCTTTTTCATTTGAGTGGAACAACCTTCCCGAAGTTTTTGTGGCTTATTACAAAGCCTAAAATGAAAATGCCTCAACTTCATGAAGTGTAGTCTGTGGGCTGAGTACATTTTTATAAATTAGAGTTAATATAAAATTAAAATATACTGAAAATGCATAGAACATAGAGAACTGAGGAACAAAAAGAGCCCAACATTCAAAAGGAGTTTTTATAATGGAAAATCAAATTCTTTGTTGAAAAGTCATTTCAGAGTACATTTCATGCTCCAATTGCTGTGTGAGCAAGATAAATAGTTTGTGTATCTGACAGTGATGTTCACCTGGCATCATCATTAACTGCATGAATTCAGCTATGAAGCTGAAGTCAATATAAGATATATTTAGTAAACTAATGAAACACAAGTACAATTAAACACAAATTCACCTTCTTACTATCAGACTTCAGCCCAGCCTTTCCTGAGGATGGGAGAGTGGAAACTGTAAAATTATTTGGATCTTCACAGTCACGGATTTTGGATTCTTTTATCAGTGAGTCAAGTTTTTTCTTTGCTATATTCTCCACTCTTTTCCTGTTAGCAGATGCCTGCAAACAAAACATTAAACCATTAAACAAGTCAGTGATGAAGGAAGCATCATGTGAGTCCAGTGCCATGTCCAGGCTGACTCTGCAGCTGCAAGAGGTGCAAGATCTATTGGGTGGAAGGGATGGGAGATGCTTTGGAATCCTCTTTTCAGCAAATCAAAGGCAAAATGCAAGAGAACTCCTGTTCCCTGCTCTGTGTGCACCATGGCCCGTGTGGGGAGGTGGGGAAATAAAACCAAAAATAAAAATCAAGAGTTTTCTTTTCCACTCAGGTCTTTTAAGGGGTGACAGATTGTGTTCTCTCAGTAGGCCCCAAGAATTCCCAGTTACATTTGTCATGAAACAAGCTCTGATTTTCTGAACTCTTCAAAATTTCGTTTTGGAAAGCAAACCAGGTGTAGCAAATCTCAGATTCAAAGCATCAGTAAATCTCAGCAAAGTGAACTGTTAATAACAAAGATGGTGCTGTAAAACACTGAAAAGTGATATGCTGACATGTAATAACATCCAAAAAGCAAAGAAATTATATTTCTCCTTTGTTAGTCTTATTCACAGAGAAGTTTCTCTTTTAGATGAAAAGGATCAGATCCATAATACAAAATGAGGAAATAGCCTGAGGGAGAGAGGACTGAGAATGCAAACTGTCTCCAAGACAATCTGGTTTATGTCATTAAATGGTTTTGCTGTGTTTTGTATTGTTCCTGCAAGGTGCAGTGGAATTTGCCAAAAGATTAAAGTGACAAAAAAATAGAACTTTTAAAAAAGGAAGAAGAAACAAGGGATTTTCAGATTGAAGCCAGCAGAGATTTTTCTTACAGTAAAAATCAATCAAGCTCAGCATTCAGCAAAGCAAAGGGATGCTCTGTAAAAATGACCAGAAATTGATGTAAATACAATATTTTCTTTTCTTTTCTTTTTTTTTTTTTCATTTTAGGGGAAGCACACTGTGATGCACTGAAGAATCATGAGATATTAATATTCTAAACTTGAAACATAACCCCTAGACACAGGTTAGAACAGGCTGCTTCCTGTGCACTTTTGTGAATCTGCCCCCATGGAGGTTTAGAACTTGTGATGAGCCCCAGAGGTCAGACCACACCCAAAATCCAGAGAGCTCCCCCCAGGTTTCCTCTCACTGGGATGGGAAGCCTTGACAGACATTTGCATTCACTTCACTTACATCTCCATTCATTAGTTTACAGTCATCATCAATCTCATCAGCACTGTCCTCATCAGAAACTTCTCCTTCCTCTGCATCCTCACTGATGTTGGCTGGAAGTTTCTTGCCCTAGAAGATAAATTTATTACAGAGGCAGGGGAGCATGCAGCTCTTGCTATGACATATTCTAAAAAAAACCCCAAATTATTCAAAGCATGCTATTTCCAGGGTTTTACTGACTGAGAAGACATTTTTTATGAACCTTAAGCAGCAGTTTCCTAAGGTCTGGTTTCTGTGAAGTGATTTAAGTTAGGGTACAGTGATAACCAGGCAGAAATCATCACCACAAACAAGAGGAGGGAAAGGACACATGAAGCAGGAGTTTACCTTAACCAGGATCTTGCCTTTAAGACTTGCTGGTGAGGGGAGCTTTGTGGAGTCATCGTTGTGCACAGAGGACAGATCCAGTTTGTCTCCCAGGATTTCTGTAAGGTACTGAGCCATTTTCTTCTGCTGCACGATGCTGCAGTGGTTCTCAATTGACAGGATCACAGGGTACCTGCAGGGACCAGAAAGCACCAGCTGCAAATTTGGCTTTTACACCATGAAGGCTTTTCCCACTAACAACAGAGCAGGGTCACACAGATAAACCTGCAGACAAAGCCTCTTCTACAAAGACAGCAAGTGTTGTTTCTAGTTTTAGTTTCACTGTTCTTATTTATTGTTGATTATCCAGACCAAGGCCAAGAAACAGCTATGCCTGGTTGAAGATAGGACTTGTGGAGCATCTACTCCAGTGTGGTCAGTGCCAGTAAAACCACACTGAAGATGGATTTCTCTTTAGAGATGATGCATTTTTAAGATCAGCACAACAGCCTTTTATAAAGGAGTTTTGCAGGATCAAACTATCAGGGATTCATTCATTAAAAATCAATTATTTTTACCCTGACATCTGGCCTTCATTGGCTCCTCATCAGGATTTGAGCCACACCAGGACCAAACTTTCCCAGTTGATGATGTGGTCCCAGTTACCATTTTTGCAAAGGTTTAAAAGCTGAAGCATTTCAGAAGCACTGCCTTTGATTTGTTTATCATGACTTTAGGCAAACTGCAAGAAGTATCAGGCTCACAAGAAGTTTGCCTGGTCTGAAAATTTAGTGCAAGTTTATTTTCTATTTGTAAAGGCAGATGGGCTGCTTTGGGCGAGCTACTGGAAAATTTTTACAGTGATAAAGTGATTTCTATTTAAAAAAAACCAAAGGTTGCTACACACATTTTGACTGTGTGGAGGAGGAGAACAGTAACTGCCAAGGTATATGAAACTTCCCATGAATAATACTGATTTTCTGAACAATATACCTGTAGGGAAAATAACTTCTTTCTGATGAACACCCTGCTTTGTCCACAACCAGGTTACTCCCTCTTTGGATCCTTTATTCCCTGACTTGTTTCCTATCCCTGGAGCACCCAGGTGTAGCCTTGGCAGCACCAGAGTGCTCATCCAGAGAGACAAAGTGGATTAACTGCCAGCCCTTCACTAAAAACATTCACTGGCAAAACCTGTTGTTCCTCAGGTGTTGTACAAGCTCAATAAAGCCAGCTCCACACCTCTGTGCAGAATGTCCCCTACTCAGCTTTGCCTTGGTGTCTCTTTCTGAAGGATCTGAAGGATTTCCCCCAGAAAACAACTCCAAATTCTGTCTGGAATTCTGGAACAGGTCAGGGATGTACAAGGATGCCAGGGAACACTCCCATTCACAGCCCTGAGACCCAGAGGCTGGCAGGCTGGATACATACTCATTCTTGATGAAGGCATATTTGTTGATAGTTTCAATGACATCTTTGAAGAGGATTTTGGAAGTCAGAGTGTATCCATGGTGGACAATTGGTTCCCCGTCCGGCCCGTCCCAGCAGTCAACTGCAGGACAGAAACAGTGACACCATCAGAGCAGGAACAGCTGGGCCAGCCTCTGTGGGGGACAATAAAACCCTGAAATTCCTTTCAGCAGCCCCGACAGCCATGTCCCCAAAGCAGGGCACAGGCTCATTCCCACCCTGCACTGCCTCCTCTCTGTGCTGAGCATCCTTCCCGGGAAGGAACTTCCTGAACTTGGCCTCGTGCTGGGACCAGCTGACTGTTCCCACTGTCTGAGAGAGCCCCAAGCAGAGAAACTCTTTTAAAAAGTGCTGAGGACTTTATGACAGGGAGAGAGGTGACAGAGCAGAGCATTGCTTTCATTTTGCTCCTGCTGAACCTGAAAAGGAAAGCAGAGGCTCTCAGCCAGGCTGCTCACACCACAGGCCAAGCCAAGACCTGCCCATCCCTTGCCCAGCCTGGATTTTGCCTGACTTTGTCTATAATATTTGTCTATTATCATATTTCCATGGAATATTTTACTCCCCTGAAGCACCCAATGGCACATCCACAATCCAACCTAAAGCAAACCATATTTGCCTTCTGAAAAACTGTGCAAACACTTTGATGGTCAGAACATGAAAGATGAGGATGAAAGAGGCAATGTCTCAGAAAGGCAGCACAAGAAGGGATTGCACAAAAAGGTCCCCTGATCACTGCAGACACTGTCACCATTTCACAGAATATCTCCCTGAGCAGAAATACCCACTTTCCTCTCAGGTGTGGCTGGAACTCTGCCACATTTGCCAGTCTGGCTGTCACACACTTGGCTGGGCAGGACAAGCACCAGTGTGTTCTGCCCAACATCAGCATCCTCTCTACAACAGGAGTTTTACAATTTTTTTTTCCTCACTACCAACAACACCACTACTCAAATGTCCATCTCAAGAAAATTTGCCCATTCTATCCCAACATTATTTTGTTCTTCTTTATGAAAGGAAAACATCATTTTCCTAGGATTTTTCCTCTCCCCAGCTACCATGCCTTCTGCAGAAGCCACAAATCTTTCTTCAGAGAGGAAAAACAAGACCACAGAGCCCACTGGCAGCTCCTTTTTGCTCTTTACCTTCCACACAGCGACAGCCAGACTGTAGCACCCATGCATACATGTCCACCCTGGACTGGGACATCAGCTGATCTCCCATGAGGTAGGTGTTGTGTGAAGAGGTAATGAAGTAGTGACTCAGAGGGTAGCTCATGTCCTGGTTCACTTGGTAATGCTCTGGGTTGAAGATGTCCCCCGATGGACTCCGCATGTAATTGGTGAAACCTGTCAACAAACAACACTTTAAATAATGTTTCATCGATGTTTCACTGATTCATCCTTTTTGTTGCTGTAACATTCCTAAAACCAGCCGAAAATGCATCCCTATATTCACCAGCACATTTAAGATAAAGAAATAGAACCACTACACCCAAACTGTCACCATGACCAAGTGCAATTATTGCTTTTCTCATTGCTTTGTACGTTTTCCTGCTCTGTCTTTCCTGACAAAAATGTATCTATTTAATCCAAAACTTATAACTTGTGCCAAAAGATTCTGCTAGGACATTGGCTCACGTGGCACATAAAAGCCTCCAGAGATCTGCAGTCATATCCTGGAGCTGCTCCTCAGTGAAATCTTGTAAGATCTACAGTATTGGGCTGTGTGGAGATAGTTTTTGATGGCCCAACAGGAGATACTCTCGATACTCCTCTCTTCTCTTTCAGTATTTTCCCCCAAAAAACCACCAGAATAATGACAGTACACATTGGCTTGTACAAGCTACACTCTCTAATTTGGAAATCACACCACAAACCTGCCTGTGGAGTGGGGAGCTCTGCAGTACTGCACTAATGTCACTTCAGAGACTAAAGTTCACTCCAGAATTGACACTGAAATATCAATTATCTGTGGGGCTTTCAGTGGTGCTACCAGAAGAATTTCTTTTCCAGAGCAGTGGGATGCTTGGAAATCCTGCAGGCATCATCACCTGGGCCCTGTGTGTATTGCAATCACTACTCTTGTTCAGAAGCAAGGTTTTAGCAAGTTATGATTTAATCTTTGTGTGAAATTGCTGCTCTCAGACCTCCAGCAGACATTTGTGCACATATCACAGCCACTTTCACAATTCAGACTGACACAAAACGCTGTAACTTCCACTTCAGATCTCCCCCAAAGGTTTTTCTTTCACCACCAAGGAAAGACTCAGACTCCCATTCACACCCTGGCATCAGTGCTGATGCCTTTGGTCAGAGGGTTTCTGCTTCAAGACTTCCAATTCTCCTGACATTTCACTCATTCCATAAATGAATCAGTGCCCCTGTAAAAATCCTGCCAGACTTCCAAAGGTCTTAACACACTTGGACTGTGACAAGAGAAAATGTCGCCTTTATGATGGTCCTTCTAGGCTACACATTTGGTGTTGATGAAAGTTTTATTAAAGGAAAAGAGCCGATAAACAGAAACAGCAGCCAAAACATTTTGAACAACACACTGGGACACAGCGCCAGGAAATTCAACTCAGCCCAGCTGAATATTGAATCTCTTGGAGCACGCACCATGATCAATGAGCACATCAGTGATAGAGGCAGGGTGAAAACAAAAGATAAACCAAGGCAGAGCAGCCACTGTGGCGAATGGACAGAGCACAGGGTGTGTCAGCAAACACACAGCCACCCACTGGTGGCAGGTAATCAGCTCTTCCTGCAAACCAATCGGCTGCTGCGAGATCAATTCCACCCCGCACTGGCAGGGCAGCAGCTGCAGCAGCACCATTGTTTGCTTTGAGCTCTTGTTAAAATGTGATGGTTGCAGTGAGTTCACACTTAACTGGATTTATCAGTCCTACAAGGAAGAAAGAGGAGTGGAGGAAGGTGCTGGTGGCAGTGAGTCCCACAGGACTGCAGTGGTCACCCTCAGGGGAGGTGGCACTCTGATCAGCAGACAAAGGTAAAGGCTTTCTTTAGAGACTGTGAATGAGCCCATTGTCACAGTCCAAGGTGCTCCATGACAAAAGCCAGCGCAGCTGAGGACAGGCACATGAATAAATAGGACAGGACAAAGAACAGTGAACTGTTATTTCACTCCTATTGAGGTGCAGCCAGGTGTGGGCAGGACGGTCCTGTCAGGGCTGTACCAGTCTGAGGAATGAACAGGCAGCTTCAGCTTCGGTGGCTGCTGCATTTCAGTCCCCAGGGCAGCACTGGAGTTGTTTTCTGGGAGACAGGAGACGTCTAAAGTCTCAACTCCTCACAGACAAGAGAGGAATAACTCCTCTGCATATGTGTGCACACATGTTCATACATGATGTACATGCAGACACAGGTTTGGGGTTTTTAAGCAGCTCTTCAGCACCAGCCCAGCAGTGAGCCCCTGTCAGCTCCTCAGTCACCTCTGTTTTGTTTGGATGTCACCAGAAATGTCCTGCATTAATTAGGCTCTAGATTAGGTCTGTTCTGTTCTGCTGCACTTGGAGCAAGTTACTGGAGGGGTTAAGGTCACACAGCTTTTTCCAGTTGTCTCCAAAGGACCTCACCTTCTGCTTCTCTCTGATCAGGAGCAGACACCAGCAGAATGTCACCATGCTGGACTCTCCCTTATCCTGACCCATAAATTCTCTAATGTTTTATCATCCATTCTGAGGCAAAGCAATTGTAAAGATTTTGTTGTTGTTGTTTTTGTTTTTCTCTATGGAAACTTACAATACTTTGAAAAGCCTACTCTTTACTTTTTTAGGTATGAGGAAAGCAAGATAATGAACTCGCTTATTCATTATTTATGTGACTGCAACTGTCTGTAAAGACCAGAAAATGAAAAGAATGTCATCTGCTCCCTCACTGGCATTAGCATAAGCTTTAAAATAAATTGAAAATTTAGTCTGGAAGTAGAACAGACCTTGACCCATCCTAAGCAACCACCTTACACACTGTACCAGAAACTACCCACTTCTTCCTGCAGGAAACCAAACAACTTCTGTTCTGCCACTTTTCAAGATGACAACACACCCACAGAAATGGACAAGGCTGATTTTCTAAACGTCCAAGAACTTTGGCACAGAACCTAATTCCTCAGGAAAGTGCTCCCTTCTTGGGGTCAATAAATCTGGCTGAAGATTTGCTGTTTAGGGGAAAGGACTTACAGCCAGCCCCCAGAATAACAGCTACCACCCTGGTGGTACAGCAGGGGTATATTTAGAGAGAAGGCTTCAGCAGAAAAGGTCAGGAAGGCAGGACCAATTTCATCTATCATCCCACTCAGACATTTACTCTGGATCACATCACTCCTCTTATATTAAGACTTAATTTGATTTCCAAATTGATTTGATTTCCAAAAATACCTGCAGGAATGATGCAACTAAATTCAACTGTATTTTCCAAAAGCATAAATAGAGACACCTCCAGTTCCAGCTGACTTTCAATGACTGCTGCTTCATCCTGATATGTACCTTTCAAAAATCCTCCCAAGAGATCTGGTTTTTTTAGGTTCCTCAGTAAATGGTAGATATTTTTTAAAAAAGCAAAAGGGCTGGAAACATACTTTATACAACATGACAAAATTCTACATCTCTATATTCTGCAAGCAGCAGCATTATTCTCCTGAGCCCTGAGCCAGTTCCCTTTTCCCCACAAAAGCTGCACCAGCCAGCTTACCATCAATTCCCAGGGCTCCCTCCTTCTTGTTCTCTGGGCACGGCTCAAACTTGCTGATGATTTCCAGGCAATGTTCTTTAGTCACATTTGTCATCTGGAAAAGCAGCAGAAATGGAGTGTTAACTATTAATCACAGCTTCTCTGAGCTCTCTCCATCTCCAGTCCAACAACTGGGCAGATTATCCACGGTGGGACTGAGGATTTCCAGTGCCCCAGAGGGATTCTCACTCCTGTCAATCAGTGTCAGGTCAGATCAGAAGGGGAGCTCTCTGTGAAAAGTTTTCTGTGCTATTGGCAGCTGCCTGATGTGAGAGTTCTGCTTTGTAGGTCAGATCTGTTGTTAGGCACCACAGAGCGTCCAAACAGAACGAGCTTTGCCACAAACCAATGGGATCTCTTCTCTTGTAGGATTAGAGGATTAGTTTGCATTATCAAAGGGTTTTTTTCCTTTAAAATAAAACAAGAAAATGTCTCATCTTTATGCAGCAGACAGAAAAATCTGTTAGTAGCAGGGAAACAGAGAAACAGGACATAATGTTCTCAGGAAATCTGCTAACTTCAAGGTTGCTCTGCATTCTCAACTGAAAAAAAAAAGAGTACAAAGGGAAATATTTGTCTGTAAATGTTGTCATTTATGAAACCAGGGTCATTAATGCTGAGCTGTAACTTTTTTTTACATAATGCAGTGTTTTAGTAACCTAATTTTAACACAATTAATACCCCTGCTATTAACTGTTGATGTGTTCTCTATTATCCTGATATTATTTAACATTCCTGTTCTGAATGGTCCAGCAAATCCTTTCTATTAGATGCTGTACATGAAAACACAGCCCTTGATATCAGAGTGCAATAAAGTGACCATCAATTTGGCAACACAGAATCTTTGCCTGGGGGAAAATGAAACCACCAGCACATCTGCTACAAGATCAATGCCTTTTCTGGGGGTAAGTTAAACCTTAGAAATAAAAGTAAAAGAAGAAGACAAAAACCTCTAACTCTGGATTTGAACATCAATGATACTAGGTTCAAAAGATGAAGCTCTGGAAGACCAGGTTGTCCTGGAATGGAGTAAAGATGTTTTCCCTGTCCATGTTGTATGAGAAGGGTGGCAAGGGAGAGAATTCCCCCAGGCAGGATTTGGCCATGTCAGTAATTAGCTGAGTTGATTTCTGTCCTGTGGTGAGTGTTCATTTTCCCCTCACCATCTGGAAGATCAATTGACCAATGAAATGGAAACACACCCCACTTATCTAAGAAGATAACTGCCAGAGAGTTGGATTTTTTATTCATTCCTTTCATGGATAATGACTGAAAATCATGGACAGTTATGGCTTACAGGCATGAAGCTTCAGAGGAGACCATGACAGGAAAAAGACAAAGATAAGTTGAAGGACTTCTTCCTGCACCACTGGACTTAAATCACTCTGAGAAAATTCCTTGGGTACTACAATGTGTTTCAAAAACTCTCCTATACATTAATCATCCTCTCAACTGCTCTTTGAAAGACAATCTTCCAGTTTACACACTGAGATAGTGTGACAAAGGAATTCAGAGTTTCATCATGGGCTGTGCACTAGGTCACAAGCAGAGCCAGGAACACCAGCTTTGCTCCGAGGTGCTGAATACTGGGAACAGACAGATGCTGATGGGATTGTTCAAGGGGAACACATGAAAAAAAAAAGCAATTCTAGAGATTATATTTAGGGCCTCACCAAAAGAGCCTACAGGGCAAAAAGGTAGTGAGAGCAAGAAGATTCAAGAAATACTCCTAGATGAAAATCAAGAGACATCTGTCTCTTTTTCACATGCACGGCATCGAAGTCCCCACCCCTTTTTAAAGGGAATTCATTCCCAGTGGCAAGCAGGAAGGCCTGCAGCTGGAATTCTGCTCCTGGCTTGGGCCTACCTTCTGCTCAGTCTCCAAGAAGCGTTTCAGGTCATCTGTGTCCAGGTAGTCCTTGTGGTTGCTGTAGGTGAGCATCAGCAGGTACAGATCGCGCCGCGTCGACATCATCTTGTAGAAAGCACAGAACTCCTCAAAGTCCAGCGTGCCCTGGTTGTCATCTGTGTCAGCCTCCTGCAGCACACAGCAACCAGACAGTCACAACCCAACTGCCTGCACCAATTTTAGATAAACAAACCCCTGCATGAGAGGGAAGCACCGGAATCAAATGCAGGTTGAAGCTGCGTGATGTGGCTGCTAGAACTGACTGATCTATCAGCCTTGTCACAGGAATCCTCTGCACAGCTTTGAACCTCTCCCATGGACACATCCATGCCAAAAACAACTCTGAAGGTTTTAATTGTTCCACAGGGAACCCTGCTGAAGAATTTCTTCTGTCTATGGCAATTAAGTGAAGGCAAGTTCCCCTCCAACAACGTGTGTGTGTCTGGCAGAATTACCCACACACATCTTCAGAAGATCACTGGAGCCCAAGTCATCCTGAAATTAATTTTATATCCAGGATTTGAGAGGATATCTGTTAAATCCATGGCCATAAATTAATAAAATCTGGAAGAATACTAATTTTGCAAGTAAAGAAAAAAATCATCAGGGATTTCACATAAAGGCTTGCTGGTCCCTGCAGGGACTTTGTGATAACAAAAGCTACACATCTCCATTGTTGCTCATTAAATTGGGCCAAGGTCAGCAGAACACAATGTCAAACAAACAGCTCTCAGCAGTGCAAAAATCTGACAGATACAGAAGTTTGCATGCTGGGTATTTTATTAGTACCAGCTATCAGAGGATACTGGATACTTGATTTGATAATATTTTTAGAGAGAACATAACTGGAGGAGGAAACATGACTGGGTTTCTGACCTAAAAAGTATAGCAAAAGAGCAATCTTGGAACTGTGTGTTTTCACGTTATGTAACACCAGAAGGTACCTGGTGTGTTGCCTTTTTCTGTGCATAACAATTTATCTGTGACGTTTTTCTGGAGCTCTTTCCAATTTACCAAATGGACTGTGTAGTATCTCTCAGTAGAGTGGAAACAAACCACCTGCTGAAGTATTTCCTATCTCTCCTACTGGATTTTGTGTTAAACCCTTGCTTTTTCAGGAAAAAAAAATAAATTCTTACCTTAAACATTTGCTTGACTTTCTGTCGGGGTAGGTTCACATTCAGTTTGTGCATGAGCTGGAGCACTTCACTAATACTCAGACTGCCATCCCCATTTTTATCTGCCTCATCAAATGTCTGCTTCAACCACATTGAACAGGAGTTAAGGAACAGCACGGAATATTGAAGGATATTACTGAACATCATGCATATATTATTTTTTTCACATTAGGAAACACTGCAAATGAGACTGGGAATGAAAGGTCAAGCTAATATCTAACTCTCCTCATGTTACTTCAGTAACAGCTTCTAGACTTGCTGTGCTCAACGTGCCACATGTGCTCTGTGCCTATTTGACAATACAGAAGAAAAACTTCTGAGTGAATCTCAGTGTTACATTGTGATGGTGTTCACAGGGGTCTTAGGATGAGGGAAGAGACGAGGATCTGACTCCATGTTTCAGAAGGATTTATTATTTTATGATAGATATTCTATTAAAACTATACTAAAAGAATAGAAGAAAGGATTTAATCAGAAGGCTAGCTAAGAATAGAATAAGAATGGAATGATAAAAAAAGCTTGTGTCTTGGACAGAGAGTCTGAGCCAGCTGGACTGTGATTGGCCATTAATTAGAAACAACCACATGAGACCAATCACAGATCCACCTGTTGCATTCCACAGCAGCAGATAACCATTGTCTACATTTTGTTCCTGAGGCCTCTCAGCTTCTCAGGAGAAAAAATCTTAAGGAAAGGATTTTTCAGAAAATATCATGGCTACATTACATCACCAAATTAAATGGATGGTTTTACACTGGGAGTGAGACTGAAGAATGCACCTGTGTCTTTTTCAGTCCACTGCACTCAGTCATCTCCATCTCCAGGACAATCCTCTTTAGGAACTCTGTCTCTGGAAGCAGGGAATACAGTGGGAACTGCTTTGAAGCTCTGAGCCTAGTGCTTACTAGTAGCAAAGCAAATACTGTAAGGAATCCTGATCTTCTCCCAGTGCGGGGAAAGCTCCCAGGCAGCACAGGAAGGATATTGGTCTCTGGTCCTTTGGCGTTTGGAGAGGCTGTCCTCATCGCTGATGCCTGCCATCAGGTACTTCAGCCCTGTGATCCAGGTCCGTGCTTCCTCAGCGCTGGAGGACACCAGGTCCAGGGACTCCATGTGGTCCCCGTAGTAGATGCTGAAGCAGCAGTTGGGGTCGAAGCTGCCGTCGGCGTAGCGCTGGAAGATCTCCGACTGCTTCCCCTCACACACCTCCTGGATGGAGTCGATGGAAACTGCAGGGACACAGCTGCAGCTCAGCAATGGCTGCGAGCAGGCCCAGACACAGCCCGCAGAGGGAGAGCCCAAACCTCACCCTGCACGGCCCCAGTTCACACAGGGGTTGCCTCCAACTCATTTACAGCACCCTACACCCCTGCAACCTGCATGGCCAACCACAGCACCTTCAACTTTATAAATTACCCATCATAAAATCATTTACTGCCCTTTAAAGTCAAGTACAACACTGTGGAATCCTTTGAGGCCTTCAGGAAAATACCCAGGGCCTTGCCTTGGAAAAAGGTAGAGTTTTCCCCACCTAGGCTGAAAGAGAGGACTTCCCCCATGGTGCTCTGCAGCACTATTGCCAATCTAATGCAGATTGCTTCCCCCATTGGCCAGTTGACCTTGCCCACCTCAATTTTTCATCCCTCATTGCCCCTACAGGCTGCTGCCCTTTGCACAACCCCTGTTCCCTCAGACCACTGGCCACTGACCCCATACTTAAATCTTTACAAAGCACATGCTTGTGTGTTTTGTCCCTGATTTCCCTTCAGCATGGTGGAGCAAACCTTCTCTGGAATTTATCATACAAAAGGTCCTTCTGCCTCTCTTTGCTGAGCTCGCTGTGGTGAGTGTTCTGCGTGGACTTCACTGCTTTCCCTGAATTCTTACCCAAGATAGTGGATGGTGTTGCCTATTTCCCAATAAGCTTTTCCACAAGAGATGCTTATTGGGAAATAGGTAACACCATCCACCATCTAAACCCCACACTGCCACACACCACCTCTCATTGAGCCAGACCCTTCATTCTCCTTTGTTTATAAGAGCACAAGGCCCCAGGAGAGGTCAGAGGGGAGGTTCTGTGGCTGACACTCACTTTTGGCTTTCTCATTCTTCCGAGAGGGTCTCCAGCGAATGCAGGACCTGTGATCATCCAAGTAGTAGAAGCGGACCAGCCCCTTGGAGCCTCCTCGGAGTTTGATCATCTGGGTGCCCGCCTGCATGGAGCTCATACATCTTTCCACTGAGAGGGGAATAAAGAGAGAGCAGTGAGCCAGACCTTGCTCCCTTTGGAATTGCCTTTACAGGACGGAAACACATCAAGCAGCTGCCAAATGAACGGTTTCAGTCAAAGGAGGAGGGTTCCTGTAGTGTCTGGTGTAAGAGGTCAGGGTTAAGATCAAAAAGTCAGAAAGATTCTTGGTGGCTGTGGACTTACCTGTAAATGTGAAAGTTTTCATTCCCATATTGATTTATAAGAAGTGATCATATGTTGGGACCAGCACAAGGTATGCGCCTTTCTCAAGACCATCTCAAATCTGAGCTCCTACAACATGTAAACCTTGTGCTGGACACAGGGTGAAATTTCACCTGGAAACTGGAATCCTTGGCCAGCAAGGTCCCACTGCTTCTATGGATTAAGTCACTGATCCCATGGATTTGCTTAGCAAGAACCCCACAAACTTTTCATCTCCCAAATCCCCCAAACCCACATTTTCCTAGCAGGAGGCCTCTCACCTGTGCTGTACTTTGGGCCTCAGGACCTGTTCCATTCCTGAGCAGAATTCCGTTTGGCAGAATCGCAGACAGTGCAGCCTGAAAAGCCACGAGTGTTGGGAGAAGCTCCCTCCAAGGGTCTGCTCTGCCCCTGCAGGGATCCTGCCCTTTCCTGGGGAGCTGCTGCCAAACCAGGGCAGCCCCTGGGAGCCAGGTTGGGGCTTTCTGAAATCCAGCTGCTGCAAGGACTGAGCTCAACAACTTCAATCCAACTGTGAGTGGCTGGCTCTGTCCCAGGAATAAATGCAGACTCACATTTTCTGCCAAGTCTCCCATTTATTTCCCCTGATGACAGAGCAGAGCCTGTGACCTGATTTTCCTCTGACTTTCTGCCTGATCCGTTTAAGTAAAATTAAAACTATTACTGTGTTCAACATTCTTTTTTTTTTTTTTTTTTTCAGCCCTAGAGATGAGAAGTGAAAATTACTGCTGAGATTCTGGATTGAAGAATGAAAATTAATACATGCAATACACATTCTAGTTCAGAAATAAATGCAAGGAGATTCTGAGGTCAGCTTTCTTTTATCAATCTTCTGCCATCAAGATTAAAGATGAATACACTGATTCCATGTGTTCCAAAATGCATCAACACCAACACAACAACTTGGGTGATTCAAGTCCACCTCTCAGGCAAAAGCAAAAGCAAGGTAAGTAAAAAGAAATGGGAAAAAGCTTTGATGTCCCTGTGCTTTAGAGCTCATGTTCAGATAAAGTCAATTAATTCACTCTGGAAAAGGTTCAGCAAAATAGACTCATTTGAAAGCAGACCTCCACGGTACAAGAAAATTTTAATTTGAAGGCACAATTCTGTAGAGTTCATTGTCCATGTTAATAAAATATTCATGGAGAGAAGGTGTGGAATTGAGAGCAAGATAATCCCTGGTGTAACATTTTACTTCTTAAAGCTGGACCCTTGTCTTCAGGCACAGATACCTTTAGAGAAAATCAATATTCAGCAGGTATCACCATAAAGGCAAGAGCTGTGCCAGAAACATCCACTGCAACATCAGATCCATCCAAAGTCAGCCCAACCCTCTCCCAGACACTCAATCTTTTCAAAATCTGCTTTCATTCTCATTCAGAAGAAGAGAAATATTTCTCAGATTTACTGAAATCATAATTATGGGAAGCTTGAACTGATTTTCATTTCACAAGGCTCATAGGGTTTTTGAAAAAAAAAATCAGTCAAAATAGCTAATAAAAGAATTTCTCTGAACATTAATCACACACACTTCAAAATCACATTAAATTTCCAACTTCCTCTTTGGGAATTATAGCAGTAAATAATCTTATTGGAAGAAACCAGAAGAGTAGCAATGGGAAAAGTATCCAAGATCACACCTGTTACAAAGCAGGAGATAATGAAGAAGTACCAAAATAAAACCACACTTTCTGCAGCACCCATTTACTTTGCTTTTGCATGAAGCTGGAACACGTTCTCTGCTGTTAAAATTTTAATAAGCATCCTTAGATTGCTTTTTCCATGCTGCTGTTTATTTTGTTGGAGGATTTCTCCCCCAAAGCCACCCTGAGCACCTCACTGCAGCTGCCTGCTGCAGTTCCAGCTCCTCTGCACTGAGCTTGGGTGATCCATGGCCAGCCCCAATATTTCAGTGTTGCCATCTTTTTGGGGCTGGTGACACAGGAGGGCACAAGAAATCCTCCCCTTCCTGTGGGAGGGCAGATTTTGTGGATCCTGGCAATGCAGGGGGAAGGAAAACCCCAAAGGGAATGCAGAGGTGTTTGCTGGGGGCACCAGGCAAGGGCCAGGACATGGAGCAGGGACATTTCCCCACCTGTCCCTTCTGGGGACTGAAAGTTTGGAGCACTACAGAGACTGGAAGAAAGAAAAAAATAAAAAGGAAAAAGAAATCCTAGTGGTACTTATATCAAACAGAAAATGATATGTTTTTTTCCCTGAAGTCTTTCACAGCATGTAAGTGAAAAGGGCACACTGCTGAGAAGCAGAACTGTTTCTCCTTGCCATTGTTCGCATTCCTTCTTTAAGGATTCATTCCTATCCTTCAGATAAAAATCCCCCAGTCTTGCAATGAATCAGGTTTTTGAAGAAATGGCTCTTAACTATCTTCAATTAAGGCTGAATTACAGCTTTTCTGTTTTTCACTTCATTAGTTCCTTTTTTTTCTTTTTCAGAATTCAGCTTATGTTCAGCTCTCTTCTGATCTAATGAGTTGCCTCAATTTGCATCTGAACAAAAAAATTGTGGAGAGAAGATGGATCTCTGTATACTGCAGCACAGAGCACTGTCAGAGCAAAGCAGAGCAGGGAATAGAAACATGGAACACCCAGTTCCACACGGGACTGATGCAGCAAAAAGACTCCCAGTGATTTCTCATGCTTCTTAATAACATTTATATTTACTATACAAAGTGTTAAAGCAACAATAAATAGCAAAACTAAACAAACCACAAACCCTACAATTTGTCCTGAAACAAGGGGGGAAAAGGAGACTGATATAATTCCTATTGTTAGAAAGATGTTCTAGTGTCTGCAAATTAATTATTTATGGTTCAGTAGCATTATTGTCTTTTAGGAGTCTCTGAGTTTGATATAAATATGTGAAGGAGTGGGAGTATTTTAGCATGTGGGGATGAAAAGAAGTCAGGAGATTGAGTCATTGAGTATTTTTGTACACGGACCAGCTTTGTCAGAAGACTCCCATCCCTGGGCTCGAGGCAGCCCCAGGCTGTGTCACACACCTTTGCCCCAGGCAGGCTTAGGGACAGAGAGCATCAAAGCCCTCTGCCCCAAGAACAGACCCTGGAGGGATGAATCCTAATTGTGTGCCTCACACCAACCACCCTCCTAAACAACATCAGGAGAGGAGAGAGGATTCCAGCAGCTCATTTCTCTCCAGAAGATGTTTGTGAGCCCAGAGAAACCCCCCAGTACATGTGCACCAGGAGGGCAAGAAAATATCCCCTTAAAATATCACCAAACCAAAACAGCTTTCCCACACACAAAGAGAGGACTCCCACACTTGTCACACATTCAGCACTGCCAATCCATTGAAGACATAATGACTGCCCCGTTTTTTTACAGTCTCACTGGAAATGGTTTCACAGCTATAAGTGGCTCATCAATATGTAAACCACAGATCTGGCTGGCTCCAGCTATTCCTGCCAGGAATATCGCTTTCTTTCTAGACAGGAGGCATAAAATCTTTTTAAAAATCAATATATCAATATAATGATATAAAATATGCAATGTATCCAAGGACATAACATATCCAGCAGAGTGTGTTGGGAATTCTGTCCAGAAGATATTTTGCCAATCCTGCCTAAGAACTGGCTGGGGTGCTCCTGGCCCAGGTACACCAGACTCACTCACATCACTCCATTGGATCCAGTTAAAAACCAGATCACATCCAAACTCATTAATCTTCATTTGTTTCATTCTGCATCCCTCCAGCCTAATGAACTGGTGCCTCCCACCTTTTAAACCAACCATTTTATCCCTAGCACAGCTTTGTCCCCCTTGTTGGCTCAAGCTTCACTGAAGTTCAGGACTTCTACTGTTCTGCTCATTGGCCAAAACGAATCTGGAAGTGTCTTTGGAAAAGAACATTTCTCTATAATACTGCCAGCAATGGCTGGGACAGTGTTTACAGGGTACAAGAGATGATGGAAGACCGAACCCATCCTTAAAGCACACCACCCCTAATAAATGAGGTGTTAATGGGAGAAGAGATGTTCTTAATCCTGTGGAAATTAGGGGCTTGATTTGAGGTCAGGCTGTCAGCTCTCCATCCCTCCAGCAGCCACCAGCATCCAGGGAAATGCAGAAGCAGAGTAGGATGGTGTTTCTCCTCTGCAAAAATTCCCAGTACTTGCCGAGCTATCTATGTGTCCAACTTTCTTGCTAAAAAAAATCTTTGATCGATGAAGCTGACAGACAAACAGGACAGAAAAGTGCTCAGGGAATGGATGGTTCTGGTCAGGCTGCAGGTTTCCTCACTGGCCATGCAGAAGTGGCCCAAGAAGATTGTTATTAAAGTGCTTTTACTAGAACAGCTGTTTTCTCTGGCCATCTCTAATCAGGTTTGCTGGGTTTATTAGCAATTTAAAGGAAAGGCTGCTGTGAGTACCCAAAGGGGATCCTTCTCACAGAGCCAGTGAAGCTTGAGAGTTTTGTGTATCTGAATTCAGAAAACAGCCTCTAAACAGTCCAGTCACCTGGTGTAGATCAAGACAGCAGAGATACTTCCAAAGGCTCATTTTTAAAACCCCAAACTACAAATAAAGAGTTAAGAGTTGTACAGTACTGGCAGATAGCAAAACTGTTGTGCTGTGGATAAGGAGAAGGAGACAGAGTCTATGCAACAGAATATTTTAAAGGGTCATCAAGTTTCAAAATGTACAATTTTGCTGTAGCTTGTCCTGAAGAACATAAATCAATCATGAAATTATAAGTGGGGGCTTGCTGAAGACAAAAAGAGCTGCACTAACATCAGACCAGGGCTGCCTCCTCCTTCCTTCTTTTCTGCTCCCCACGCTGCTGCTACACAAAGGTGCCACTAACTAAGATTGCAGCATGAAAGATTTAAAGGTGTCACCATTTCATTGAATGCAGGGGTTCAGCATCTTACCAAAGTGGCCAATTTTCCATCTCGGAGAGGCGACGATGCTGCCACCAACCCAGAAAAAGTCTTCAGCCAGACGAGCCACTGAGAACTTGTTTTGAAGCAAGGGAGATTTTGAGATATCCATATCTGAGCTGGACTGGAAACAAGCACTGATGGCCTTAGGAGGCATCAAAATTTTATAGTACACATTCTCCATGTAGCAGAATAAAAATGTTATCAGAAAAATAGAAAACAGCCATTGATTTCCAAAACCCAGTGGTATTTTTCAGGTATTTTTCAGGTATTTTTCAGGTTGTTTCAGAACAGTTTCTCAGGTAATATAGGTCTCTTTCACAGTCCAGATTTGCAACATTAAAATCCCAATAAAATCCTTCTTATTGTGATGTACCTGTGACTACTTTGAAGAATTGGGTGGGCTTCAGTTCAAGATTTTAAAGAAGACACGTGATGGAGCATGAGGCAATTTGGCATGTAGATGAAACCATTTCTGGACAGCAAGGCCTCCTGATGATATCCTTTTCCTCCTGCTGATTTTCTTTTTCCTTTGGTACTTTCCCAACTGCTTGGCATCATCAAGACATTACAGCAATTTATTGTTGTTGGCTCCTCCACCACTTCCTCCTCCTGACAGTGATTCCCACAAGGAGAAAACCCTTTTCTTTCTTTGGTCACAAACAGATTTGCAGGTTCCACTCTTTCTGGGGCTCTACCTGCTCTTCAAAGCCAACCAACAACATCCCCTGCAGTAAATAATGCACAGTTAACAGCACAATCCATTCCCCTCTCTGCCCTCCTGAGCCACCCTTGCCTTTCACTGTGGATCTGCCCAGGTGCATAAGCTCTTCAGTCTCTTTCCAGGGCTGGAAAAAAAAAGAATAATCACATTTTCTTCTCATACAGCTCCTCAAAATATCATTGTACCAATCTTCTTCTCTTCTCTGAAGTTTCTCCTCACTATTTTAATGGGCATTTCTGATAAAAGAAAGAATATTTCTCTCTAGGCAGCAAAAACTAGATACGATGGAAACACAGCAACACATGTTTGCTTCAAATCCTAAATCCATCACAGGCACTAATCCTAAGCTGTGCTCCTGCCCTATCCAGTCAAGGGATTTAGGTGACACGTTACAACTGGAAAAAAAAAAGGTTTCAAATAAGTGCATTCTTCTGCTTCTCTTCTTCATCTTCATCTTCTTCTCCTCCTCTTCCTTCTCCTTCTTTCCATCTCACACCCTATTTAGGGATGCCTTTGCAGGCTGACACAGCCACAGAAGATCTTGCTCAGGGCACAGCCAGGCAGCTCCTGTGCCCAGAGCTGCTGTAACAGAACCAGGAGCACTGAGGGGGCTCCAGGACTGACAGATAAAAGCAGGTGAGGATGAATTTTTAAAAAGCACTAAGTCACTACTTCGTTCCATTTGAAATGCGCCCACTGAACTCCAAATACAGAAATCTGTCCCCTAGGTTATCACTTAAGCTACATTAAGTTTTAAGTACAATAGACAATCTCTCTTGCCATCTGTGATCTGTACAAGGAGCCTCATATGCTTCTACCCTGATGAGCTAAACACAAATTGCCCATTTAAAAACACATTCATTAAGTGCTTCCTACTCTTCCTTTCACAGTTTGAAAAAAGCTTTGGAGTAGTTAATTCTGGAGATGATTCACTCTCAATTACAAGTTGTTTATTTCACCAGCAATGCCCAGAGTTCTTATACTGGGCTTGACTCAGAGTTTAACCACAGATTAATTCCAAACCAGAACCAAACTGGGTCTGCACCACGGGAAGCAGTGATGCCATGTACACTCTTGCCACTATTTATTTAAACATTTCAACCGCAGCCTTCCAGCCTCCTAAGGCATCTTTCAAGAGCAATTTCGTGAGATGACTGCAAACTGTCATCAGGGAAAGAGCAACTTCTCCTGGAAAATGCTCAGAAGGATATATGCATCCCACAGAAAACTCTGCCCTGAAGGGAAGAACAAAGGAAACTTTGTTCTAAAGATCCTCATCCTTCCTTCACGTGAAGCCAGGATGAGAGCTGGGACCTGGGAGTTTCATTGTCTTCTCTATCATCTGCTTCTCTGAATTCCTCAAATAAATCCATAAATACCTTTGTGTAATGCCCATGCTTTAGAAACACCACCTTAAATGGTGAGAATGTCACTGCTGTACCTCACAGGGAAGGAGAGAGAACTTAGAGGCTCTCAATTACGAGGAAGCAGAGTTAAGGCAAATTTCTGCATAAACCAAGAATATTGCAGCTGTTTAGCTCCTTTTTTCCCCTCTTGCAGTACTAATCAGGTTTCCTTGCAGTTCTCCAGGCTGTGCATGCAACAAAATCAGTGACTGGCATAGAATGCTAAAGGTGCTTTCTTCAAAATTCAAATATCAGTTCTGCCAGGACATCATAGACTCTGCATTCACCATTTATGTGTTATCAACCTGGTGACAAGGGGAAGGGAGGAGAAGAGGGAAATGGAACTCCCATTGCAGCATTGCTCAAGATATTGGTTTCATGGTTCATAATTAGAATTCTGCAAATGCAGGGCTTCAAATATGGATTTGGTTTTATTTGAGTAGAGAGAAATGCCAATGATTTATAGCACTGGAAAAGAACTATTACAATATTCAAGTTAAAGTTAGATTTTTAATCCTAAGAGCACACAGAGAAGGTTAATTTAAATTATTTCAGTTCACTATCCATACACCCCTTCAGGCCTCCTAAGGAAATCCTCATTTCCTTAAGAGGAAAGGAAAAACAGAGAAAAATAAAATCTTTTAGAAGGCTCCTCCATTTATTATGCTGGATGCTGGATAACAGTGTGGAAAAGCAGCAGGGAATAATGAAGGGTTAAATTGGACACAATCCCTCTCCCAACTCTTAAGCACACTGAGCTGAGGACTTAGGATCTAAGCCTGCTGAAATGGGTTTCTATTCTTGCCTCTCTTGACATCCTCAGAGCAATCTTGCTCACCTGACCCAACAGGGAGATTAAAGACTTCTTTCCACAGCACTTCAGGAACTTATTATTGTCTGAGTGTAACAAAGGCTCTTCATGCCATGAAATAGATTTTAAAACCAACATTGTCTGAGTCTCCAGGCTAAAAATGGAACTCAGAGCACTTGAACAATGCTGGAATGTCAAAGTCTTGCAGAGGAAGAAAGTCAGTTGGAGAGTGCCAGAGGAGCCAGACTCCATCCCCCAGAAAGAACATCTTGAGGAAGACACAGGAGCACAACACACATATGGTTTGGAAGATGGAGAAAAGGGAACAGGATGGAGATCCTCCTGAGACAAATGGGTTTATCAAAAATGCAGGGATTCATTTGACTGCTGAGGGATGGAAAAAGTGTGAACAGTTATGTAACACAAAAGGAACCAGCTGCAGACCTCAAAGTAGAAAAACCAAAACTAGAAAGTTCAATATCCTGACTGCCAAAGACATGAAATGTTACAGAGCTGGCAATGTGTTTGACCTGCAAATCCACCAGGATCAGAGCTGTGCCTTCCCAGCCCTGCACTCCCTTTACCTTTGCATGGACACACTACAGACCCAGTTCACCAGATTAACAAACTGACCTCGTCACAGGAGGCTGATTCTGAAACACTGAGCTGCTCATGGGCAGCTTTAGTGATACACACAAGAACTTTAATGCAGCTGCTCCCATTTCCCACTTCCCACCCAGGGAAATCTCGCTCCTAATGGCTGTGGAATCACAAGAAAATTATTAACAACAAGACAGTCATAAAGTACAAGGAGGAAACAGAAGATATCAGTGCCTTCTGGCACACCTCTCTCTCACTTACTTTTGCCCTTCCTGTTGCACTTTCACCAGTCAAAATACCCTATAAAAATTGCAGAAACTCCATTTACAGCTACATCTTAGCTACCCCAGCCCAAGATCTTCATAGGAGTTAGCCAGCCTGTTACCCCCTTGTGAAGCACTAAATGCAAAGATGTTTGTGAAATACCAAAAGCAAAAACATCTCATTGAAGTGCACATCACTAAATACAAGTCAGGAGTACTCTCAGTTATGGTAAAGGTTCAAAATTCCACATACATGGGCACAAACACAAGCAGCAGGAGATGACTGGACTTGATGAACCAAAGGTGAATGATGCCCATTCACTACTTTTAAACATGTGATTTATGTTTGCTCCCTTTCCCCCAGAAATGCTGCTTCCAAGAGGGCTAAAGCAGCATGAACTGAGCAGCCAGACCAGCCAGCTCAGCCGCAGCTTTTCTTCTCTCTGCTGGAGTCATTTGCCTTTGTGTTTCCAATGCACTCTGCTTTTTCACAGCTGTGTCTGCATGCAACAGCTGCCCACTGCTTTTAGTGTGGGCTCTTCCCAAAAAGAGGAATTTGGGGAGCAGATGCTGATGGAAAAAAAGACATTCACAGTTCCATTTTCTACTTTTGTCTTTCAACTAAAAACTTCTGTATTAGTTCTATCAAGAATTTAATAAATCTTCTGTATTAGTTCTATCAAGAATTGACTAAATCAATCACTTTCAGATGGTTTTGGCTCAGAAAGGCCAGAGCACCTGCTCTGGGGCCACAACCTTATCCCAACTGTGCATAAGCTGCCTTTTCCCTAATTCTAGCCCAGTTCCACCCTCTGCCATGGGCACAGGCAGAGCCTGCCCGACCATCTGGACAGCACCTCTAAGCACAGTAATCCCCCCTCGAGATTAACACTGCACATCTTGCCCAGATCAAGTGGAATTCAGGTTATTCCATGGCCCCTGTGCCTCACCCACCAGGCCTCCATGTGTAACATTTGTGCACTGAAAATGCAACTCTGAGCATTTTCAGCAAGTTATTTAGCTTGTCTGAAATCCACCTGTCCTCAGCATCCATCCACTGGCAATTCCACTGGGAGAGGCTGTAACATCACATTTTCCTGGTGCTCCTTTCCCTGCTGGAATTCACAGTGGGCAAACCCAGGAACAGCTGCTTTAGGCAACCACAACCATGAACTCTCCAAAACTGTTTGGAAAGTCCCATTATAAAAATGAACCAGTTGTGAAATCCCTTAAATGACTTCGTTCACTTGAAGGAGTGTTTGTGGAATGGGGACCCATTAGCAACAACAGCACTAATTTAATGACAATTACTCTGCCTCCTGCCATGATGTTTAGTTCTCTTGGGCTCATCTGGAAAAAAATGATGCAATTATTTTAATT